AGTATGGGAAAATTTATTGAATTTTAAGATCCTATCCAAAACCCGAACTAAAAAACAATGCTTCGGGTTCAAACAGTGTATTGAGTAAAACAGTGACACTATTCCAGAATACACTTTTTAGTCTGTGGCAAATTGGATGGTACTGATGCTGCTCAGTTTTTGTAGTGGGGGTTTCAAGAAGCGCCAGAGTAAACTTCAGTAACAACAGCCAGTAGGGACCACAGATGTATTAGCTGTGCGGAGTGGTGGCTCTGTGGCTAAGGATCAGTGCCTCGGACTGGAAGGTTGCTGGTTCAAATCCTGCAGCTAGCAGAGAAATCCTACTCTATTGGGCCCCTGAGCAAGGCCCTTAACCCCAACTGCGCCAGGGGTGCTGTACAATGGCTGACCCTACGCTCTGACCCAAGCTTCTCTCCCTGTCTATGTCTCATGGAGAGCAAGCTGGGGTATGTGAAAAGGTGAATTCCTAATGCAAGAAATTGTATAGGGCTAATAAAGCAACATAAAAAATAAACTATGTTTCTTGAGCTTTGCAGGTCTCTGTTTATTTCTTTACTGCTTTATTTGCCTGCATAAGTTCATGTAGACTGAATCCTCAATTGCAATGACAACCTGGAGAGTGGCCAAATCCTGTATACAAAGGGGCATTTAGTGGAGTAAATTTCGGTGAAGTACCTTGCTCAGGGTTACCACAGCAGAGTTCCATCCAAGATTTGAGCCCATGGACCGCTGGTCCAGAGTCTAAATTAGTAACGTTTATATGAGTGCGTATATTTATTACAGTTGAATTCTACACTTAAATATTCAGAATTCCTTTCTTTTCATAATTTATGAGAAATCAGACAATAAAGCATTATCGAATATTGTGAATGAATGGACATTTTTGAATGTATTAATCTAGTGAGTATGGGCTATTGTTAGGTTATTGACAGTCTGTATGTCAAAGGGCTTTGGATGGTTTCTTTGTTCCAATGCAAGAATCTTTCAGCAAGAAAAACATAACAGACGGCCAGACAGGAAATTGGTGTGGTTCTAATGAGGCTGAAAACCAATTAACTCCAAAGCTGAACTTCAGCGTTCCCAAAAGATAATTGGGGTTGTTCATTAGCTTACCATTCTCTACAGCTTTGTTTGAAACAATTATAAATTGGCAAACAATTGGCAAAGGTTGTGTCTTTTTCTCTGTTCCAGTGCATGTTTAACCATATACTGTAGTAATTTAAATATTGTAAAGATCAACACTCATAGACTTTTAAAAGTATCCATGTACATTTTTTACATTTTATAAGAAAAAAAGGTATCTGCCATTTAATGCCATTTTTGCTCTTGGTGTTGTTCTCATATTTTAAAGTCTTATTGCTATAGCAAGATTTTAAGTAAGTCACTATTTTATACTGTGATAGCAAGTGATGTAAGGCATGGTATCCTGCAGGAGTAACACTCTCTCATTGTCTTTATGCCAAATGATTTCATGTGATCTGTGAAAGCTGATTGTTCATGTTTCAGAAAATCTTTTGAAAATTTGCTTCAATGTGATTTGCACTCTGTATTGTGTCCTCTGCTTGCACTAACTATGCTGCCTACTTGTGCATCACTCTGATGCATACTGTAGGCATTTGTAAGCAGTAAAGCCCATGCAGAGTACTTATCCACAGTATAAAAGCAGAAGAACATACTGTAATAGCATTGGTGGGAGAAGCACTTGCAATACTGAGGCTACTTTGCCCCAAAGCGTGGGTGATCATTGTTTATTTTCAGTGCCAATCAGCAGATAAAACTAACAACAGTTAATTTTATGTAATTAAGATTTAACAGTGGACTAATTATATAGAATTAAGTTTAAAATATGGATATTTTACATAACCAGTTATGAACAGTTTATTTTTCAGGACTGGTCACCTACATAATTATCACTGACTTTTTTATTGTCAGTTAAAGTGTGTGTCATCAGATAAGAGCAATTGCAAGTGGTTTTAGAAAATAGGTATTTGATATTCTTCATTCTTGATGGAGAGAAACTTTAATTGTTGAAACATGATTGTTTGAGAACACATGCTTTGTTGTGAGTGCAATAAGGGTATTGAACATACTTAATCCTCTTCAGACTGAAAAATTCAGACTGAAAGAGTCGTCTTTGTTGATCAAGAAACTAGTACACTGGATTTCCAAGCAGAGGGGCTCTTCCTGAGTCCTGAATTACAAAACAATCACTGATGGTAGCAAACAATGGAGCAGGAGCGATTATGTACTCAGAACTATCCCACTCAAAACATTGAAGAGGTGGAAACACATTGCAAATTGTATTTCAAACAGTGCCAGTATGGTGTGGTAGGGAAATATGGGTCTACCACTCACCTTTTGAAACAATGCTGGTCCCACAGTGCCTTACTAGAGAATTAATGATATGTAGAGGAGTGGCACATCTCTCACATGATATCATGTGAGGCCCAGTACAAGCTTTTTATTTTATAGAGATGGCTATTGCCTCAGTTGAGGGATGAATCAAGAGGAAAAGGAACTAATCATTTTCACTACTGAGCAGTTTGATATTTCATAGCAGTACACAGTACATAAAGTATGTTTTGAGGCACATGGGGCTAAGAATATACCAATCCACTGTAAGTTTAGATCAGACAGTCCAGGGTTCAGGAAAATTGGAGGATAGATTGCTTATGGCTCAGGAGCTATGAATACAAATACAGCTACGTACTACACTGTATTACATGTCATCAGCATGACAGTGAACGTTTACAGTACATTGTTTCCTGATTGTGTCCATTACTGGAAGCATGAACAATATAGAGAAAACAGTGTAGATGTGACCATGGAGCCTGGTGGGACTGTATGCTGTGGTACATACTCTATGAACCAAAGAATAGGATTGTTTAAATAGAAAAATAGAGCTATTCATTAGTCCTAAAATACAAATGCAATAAGAAAGCAAAAGATGTTGGAAATGTTTGTGGAACAGGTTGAGATACACATAATTTATGGGACTGTTCAAAGGTGTAGCATTTTTGGCATTTGGTGAGTTAAGGTATTAAAAAAATAGTCCTGAAATACCACTTGAATTGTGTATTTGGGAGGTCTCCGGTCAGAGTTTGTGGAGTAGAGATTAACTACAGTAGATACAGCTTGGGCTTCCTTTTCACAGATAGTAGGAAAGATTTGTATAAAACTAGCTTGTCTGAGAAAATCCAGACAATATACAGCACACTGTACATAGACCATGTGTAGTCTGAAATGAAGATCAGAATGACACTGTCAGAACAATTCTATATTTTATTTTGTATATGCTAAACAGTTCTAATATTTTACTTGTTAAAGGACTGTGAATTCTTTATGAAACCCCTATATTTTCTAAGCACTCTACCTTTTATGAAGGATTTAAATCTCACTTTAAGAGGCAGTAATAAGGGCATTTTACAAAGTACCATGCTAATCTGTTTTATATATATATATATGCTAATCTGTTTTATATATATATTTCCAGAAGGTATGTCCATTTTTTTCAGTTCTCTGACTGTTCCTCTCTCTCTTTTGCACAATTTGAGCACATGCAGAAGCAGCATCAGTGAGCAATCCATAAGTCTTAAAACTAGGCAGATTTAGCTCCACCCCTTTCATTTAAATACTGTATACAGTAAATGCTGTTTTTTTTTCCAAGCTATTAGAGAACATCTACCTGAAAGTAAAAGGCATGCTGATATTTGGTGAGTAGGCTAAAAAACATCACGTCATGGAAGTGTCACCTCACGGAAGTGCTTTTATTGATCTATACCCCCTGTGTTTTTGAAATGATACTTGTACTATGCTATACTGTAATGCTTCAGTGCTTCACAGCAAAATAATAACATTTGGCAGTAAAATCCTTTTGTCTCCTTAGAAAATACCTAAAGGTCATACAAGTTAATGATATTTGTTTTAAAATCCCCAAATATTTTTTTTTCTTTGCTTAAGCACAGAAGACAGTATGACAAACTCCCAAGATGTCTGTCTCCTTTTTTGAGCCCAATCTATTGTGTGCCTCACAGCACCATTGCTCATGTTTTTGTATACAGTAAGTCTCTGATGACCAGACATGATGTTTTCTTGAAATGTGATAGCAAAGTTCTCTGAAGTGATCAGTTTTACTTTATTTGCAGAGTTTCAGTACATACAGTATACTGTATACATGTACAGTACATGAAATCTGCCTTAATGCAATTTTCATCATACACTGTTATCATGGTAGTGCTCAGATTGATCTATATAAAAGGATTTGGAATAATAGTATTTTTATTTTTCCTTTTTTCAAAATTCGTGTTTCTAATATAAACCTGGTTTTAATATAAACCTGATTATTTAACTCATTCCAACATTTTTTTTAAACAATGTTTGCAGCAAAGACTGTCCCTCTTAAATCAGATTCAGATTTTACACTGCTAAGTAAAGTCTTTCTCTGTTGATCTTTCAACATTTACTCAATGCCTCAATGCATTTTCTGATTGTTGGAGTTTGGCACAAATACAGTATATTTCCAGTTTCATGCAATTGTACCAGCTAAATGATTTTTTGGAAGCCATTATATTGTATTTGAAAATTATTGCTGTCTTGGTTTGAAATTAAGATTTTTGTCTTACTGTACGAATGACAGTTAAGAAGGTATTTACATAATGAAAGCTAAAATAAATTAGAACTGCATAAACAGATCATGATCAAGATCATTTGTAACATGACCACTGGATAATTGAAAGTAATTGAAAGCATATTTCATTTTTATCACGTCAAGGTCTCTGCTGGGCTCACACTCATTAGCTTCTATGATGGATACAATGATAATTGTGGAGCCAGGCCACATATGCAAAACATTTAGGTGATTTTAGAATCAGGCAGGTTGAGCCTTTGGAGAAAAATAGGATATTAATCTTTTTTTTTTACAGGTAGTCAGGCCAAGTTACAACTTTACTTGTAGTCACATATGAATTTTCTTGTTCTGTTCCTCTCTCTTTCACTGACAGGTGAGAAATGATCTGACCAATGAGCTGGAAAAGGCTGATATTCAAATTGCAGATACAGAGAGTTTCTCCAATGATCCCTGCATCAATGTGAAAAAGTTGAAGGTAAGTGAATTTTAAGCTATAGGGCCCCTTTTTTAGGACAAGCTTTTCTTTTTTTTTACTCTATTGTGTTTTTCCTAAATTTTACAAGATTGGGTTCTGAAAAGACATCATTTCCTTGTTAGATCTCTGTACTACAAGCCGGTATAACAACAGATCTTTTTTTAAAAAAATGTAAGTTTACCCATCAATACAAACAGATTGCATGGGTATGGAAAATACTCTACAGTATATTATAATTCATTACAATGTTTCATTTGAATGACATAGTGGGTTACATTTGAGATTTGTTTTGGTTACTACTTCTGTAGATAAGAGCTAATGGTGCCTATTGTTCCTTGCTCTGCTCCAGCAATCTTAATTTTAAACATTTAAATAACTGCAGGGAGATGCTTACAGTAAACCACACTGACAGCACACAGTATACATTCATAATCTTCACAGAAGAAAATGATCACAACTGGGAGCATGCAATGTGCCATTCTGTCTTGTGTATGAGACCCCATTATAAAGAGACTCGGGTTAGATCACTGTAAAAGTTTACCTTATTCCTACAGTACTGTAATTTCCCTAGCAAAAAGTAAATAAAGTCTCTGGGTTGATCAAGACCATCTTTTTCTTCAGATAATGTTTACAGTGATTATGTTCTAAATTTTGTTTACTGTTCCTACACTCTTTGTTCTGACTGTTTAGAACAGTAGTTCTCAAACCCAGTTCTGTATTTGCAAATCTTGCTGTTTGGTATCATCTGCAGACTTGACCAGTTACTCTAGAATCTAGATCATTGATATAAATTAGGAAAAACAAGTTCGTAGTAAAGGTCGTACATCTTTCTTGTAGTAGGTTCACATACTGTACAGTATTTGTTTCTAAACAGACGTGAGTGAATCAATGCTGATTGGTTTATCATGAAAGTCGTGTTTGGCCATCATTTGAAATAATAAAACCTGTATATAATAATAATTGCTTACACTTATATCGTGCTTTTCTGGACACTCCACTCAAAAGCACATTACAAGTAATGGGGACTCCCCTCATCCACCACTAATGTGCAGCATCCACCTGGATGAACGCAAGAACGCTCACTACTATATCAGCTAATAGTGGAGAGGAGAACAGTAAGGAAGCTTTATTGGGATTATTAGGTGGCCATGATTGGTAAGGACCAATGGGAAACAACCCTACTCTTTTCGAAAGCGCCCTGGGATTTTTAATAACTCCAGAGTCAGGACCTCGGTTTTACATTTCGTCTGAAGGATGGAGCCTTTCTTTACGGTATAGTGGGGCATTAGCACCCACATAGACCGCAGGGTGAGCGCCCCCTACTGACCTCTAACACCTCCTCCAGCACCACCCTTAGTTTTTCCCAGGAGGTCTCCCATCCAGGTACTGGCCAGGCTCACACCTGCTTAGCCTCAGTGGGTTACCAGTTGTGAGTTACCAGTTGTGAGTTACAGGGTAACATGGCTGCCATATCTTCTACAATGCTTCCCCATGTCAAATTATTGTTCAGTGTTCAATGGTACTCAAGTCTGGCAAGTAACGCATCCACAGTACAACTCATATTTTTATTTCTATGGACAACTACAACAGTTGTTTACTGATACAGCAGTAGCATGAGGATATGTGTTATTCTGCTGGAGTAATTTGATGTCATGCCAGGATGATCCCACAGAAAGGATAGTGAGTTAAGGCCATCAGTCATTACAGCAGGAGGTCTGTGATTATGACCTGGATAGGAATGACTAGATATTCCTACCTAGACCATCATACTTTAATCTCTATCAGTCATCATTGTACTGTGACCTGAACCTTCCCAGATGATGGCCTGTCTTTGACAGAATACCTGTATGTCTTACCAGGTTAGATATTGTTAGATCTGGGATCTCTGAACACCCCAGACAGCAAACAACAATCCAGTCTCCAATATACTGTACCAATTAAATGAAGGAGTTGTTCTCTTGAAATGCAGAGCATATTTTTTCTTATCTTGATTTTCACAAGTCATTACATTCAACAGGTTAATTCATCTACTCCCCACTTTCTCATTCATGATTTGATTTTTTTGCTTAAGAATTCAAGTGCATGCAAGTCAGTCTTGAATGACAAATAAATCAAAATGCCTCCCAAACATTTAATCAATATCTAAAATGTATTTATGTTCCAAGAACTGCATTAATAGTTATGTTCTCTTCATGTTTAGTTTATTATTTGAAATTAAGATTTTTTTTTATTCTGTCATCTTTTCTTTTCTACTGCAAATGTAATGAAAGTAGCTTTCTGGATTCCTATTATGTTCAAGGCACAATGTGGCTCTTCAAGACAAAAAGGGAGATGTGTTTGGCAGGGAAAAGAAATGTAACACAGAAACAGAAACTGGTCGTACAGGAATGAACAGCCCAAACAGAAAGCTTTGAAAAGAAACAAAACCTAGAGACAAAAGTTCTAACCCATACAGCATGCTTTTGGCTACATCGAAATGCCAGTCAAGCCTTGTCTAGTTCAATCTTTTGATTGATTTCTGTGGGAATGCAAAAGTGACAGGAATAAATGGAGACCACACACTAGGCCTGATTGTTAATTTTAAGGTGCCAAAGAGGGGAATTTATGCAGTAAACACAGGATGCTTCGTTGCATGATTCCTAGAGATACTGTGAACTTGTCAAAACTTGCCTCACGTTTTACTCAGAATATTATTAACAAGGATACCATTTCACAGTTTGGTTGTGTCCAATGCCAAAGAAAGACTTTTGTACACAAAAAGCATGACATATGGACTGTGAGAAAGTGATTACACAAACAGCTACATAAAGTAATGCACGCACATAAAAAAATATAGATCTTCTGTAAAATTCTGTGGTATACAATATTGTCTGTAAGCCAGAAGTATGTATATCTTGGTATACGCATACATGCAGTCAGACGTTTTCTTAATGGGAGAAGGTGGGGAGTTTCTGCTATGTGATGAAGGATGGAACAGATTGTTCTTTGTATTCTGGTGTAGGAAGAATTGAAGTATTTGCCCAAATTTCATCAAAACAGGAATCACAAGTATTACTTTTGTATTCGACTTTTAATTTGAGGTATTCAGTGTTGTGTGTTTTATGTTATTTTACATATTTGCACAAACTTCATACAAAATGAATAAACATTGCTCTTACAATATATTCAATGTTTAATATAGGGTATTCATTATTGGGACTTCTTAAAATCTGTTACTTTTCCTTTTAGAGTTTTTTATTACTTCATTATTGGGAATTAATATATAATGACACTTGTTTTATCCAGTTCAGGACCAACAGCAAAATTACTGTAATAATAAAATGAAGAACTGTATTTTACAGAACAGGTTCCCAAACTATAACATAATAATTATTCTTTGTATTTTAATTGTCCTTTCGATGCTTTATAAGTGTGAAGAGAAAAAAAAAGAGTAAATTATTTTCGTACTAAACAGTTATGGAAATAATTCTGTTGATTATCTTTTTTCTAAGTGGGGGTAAAGTGCCCTAACAGCACAGTTCTAAATATTCAAGAGCAAAACTCTGTACTTTTATAAATTACCTGTGTGGGTCCTCTATTGATTATAACAGGGTGTGCTTTCAAATACATCAACTGGGTGTTTTTGAATCAGTCTGATTAATTATTTTACTAGTATTTTATTAAGGAATACCACAGAGAAGACTCTCATCACAATATATACAGTATATGTAAACAAATGCATATCTGGCAGATACAACGTTATTGTTAAAGATATTGTGACTGAAGTGTTTTTAAGAATCCAGATTCGGATACAGTACATTTCCAGTTTTCTTGGGAGCTTCAAAGCAAGGAGATGTTTGCAGAGATGTAGGGCTTCATGTTCAGGTAATCTATAAACACGGGATTAAAGTAAAATTGTTTTCCTTTATAGAGAATCCCTTGGTTAAAAATGGCCTTTCCTGGTAAGTGAATGCATTTTTAGAACAGGAAGATAGGTCTTTTGGCTTTTCTAGGCATTATATAAGAGTCTTGTTAGGCTGGGATTTTCTGGGTATTCAGAGCACAGGCCACTGGGATACCATATTTATAAATTTGTAAAAAGGGTAACTTGTATGCCATATGTTGTGTTATGTTTTGTTTAATGCGTGTACTGTCATTATTCATTAAAATGTCATTAAAATTAATGAATTCCCGAACTTGTCAACTTTTAACCCTCATTTGGTCATTGTATAAATCTTAAGGTGGATTTTCACTGGGCTGTGAAAAAAGAAAAAGTTCAATATCCTTTGCATTAAAGACACGGAGCATTGCCACACAACATATATGCAATATTCATTAAATACTGTAAAACAAATAGCAAAGTATCAATTAAAGAGGAAGAGTATCCATCTTTTTAAAACTCTCTTTATGCATATGGAGCAGAAGAACACCATAGTGGAATACGTAAACAAGGAAATCCCTGGCTAGATATTCCTTCAAGAATGTATTGGATGATACAGTATGTTGGCAATGAGAAAGATTTCAATCTACTACTCCACTGAAAATGGTTTTAGTGCTCTTACTACAAAAGGTGTGTTTCCCAATACTGTATGATTCGTGGATTGACTAGTAATTAGTAATAGGTTTATTCCATGCTGAAAAAAAGAAGAAAGAGAACACAACGTTTCGGCCGTGGGGCCTTCTTCAGGTGTGATTAGTAGTAGTAGATCACTAGTAATTATATGGGTTCAATATTACATTTGAACATTCTGTACATTTTAGCTAATTCAATCCAGTAACCAGGATATTGCACACAGAGAGCATGAGTGCTGAGTGGCTCCACTGTGTTTGGAGAGCTACTGTATGTAGACTGTGGAGCCAGAGGTCAGGTCAGATTATTTTTTAGTGTGCTCTTTTAAAGTAACCACTAATAGGATGTGGATGCGTGTTGTTAAGACAGACCTGGAGCAACGGATGACACAGGAGGTCATGTTCTAGTGGGCTAGGAACAGAAAATTGGTGATGGCACTACCCAATCACATCCACTGAACCTCAGTAGGAGGTACAAATATTTAGTGATCTGTATGAAAGATGCCCAAACAAGTTAATGGCTAACAGCTGAATTATTGTCCAAGTAAGAAAGTGTGAGTGAGTTCCACCTTCCAAAAGACCAAAGATCCAACAGTTTGGAACTACTCTTCGAAGGTTGAAATCTAATAGGTATTGTTGATCACTAAAACAAGAAGAAGTATATATAGGAGACAAATATATATTTAGGAGAAAAGGGCTATTAATTAAAGGTGTTTTGTTATGTTTAAAGAAAATGTTTTTTCCTTTTAGAACTTAATATTTTTGATATTGATATTTTTTGGCCATTTGTATAAAACCCAGGACTACTAACCTAGTCTCTGGACTAGATAGCCTCAACCTCAGGGACTTGCAGTCATTGTGATTTTTTTTTCTTAATATATTATATTGTGTATACTAATATTCATAGTGTATAGTTTATTCCTCCTCACTACAATGCTATCACACTGTGATACAAAAAAGGAAACCACATGATACATTTGGTTGCTTTTCACTTGTGACTATAGGGGGTGTTTTATTTTTATTTTTGTATACATTTGCACAACACCCCTTTAATTTATAACAGGTGAAAGCCTAATTTAGAACAATTGGTGTTAGTGTGGAATAGATAATAATCAGAATCCCCTCCAATTCATCACGCTTAATTTATAACAGCATGCATACTCAAGAACATTGAGCACTATCATAACAAATTACCATAATCGTGTCATAACAAATGCTACGGTTATTTCCACAAACCCAACTTGTATTTAAATGCTACAAGGGTTTAAATGAGATGTATTTATTATTCTGTATATTCGTCTTTTTGTTTAAGATCGTAATAATTGATACCTGGTTACTAGATGGTTGATAATTCAGCAAATATTTCCTCATGCTGGAAGTTTTTGACATGAATTTTCTATTGCTGATGCTTTTGTAACAGAATGCAATTCAAAGGAAAATTAAAATTGTTCAATTATTAGATGGGTTATTTTGAGTATACTGTATATACTGATATTAAATTTGTTGAAGAAAAGGTTAGATTCCTACAAGGGACGTGTACTGTAGAATAATCATGTTGCTTTATGGACACAACTTTCTTATATTAAGTAAATAAGAGAAATATTCAAATGTACTATAGAAATGTGTGATATTTATTTAAAAATCAGCTTCTAAAGTTTTGTATTTGCAGTTATGACTGTGTAAAATCATTAGGATACAGTAATGCAAGTGATGAGCGCTGGTTGCATGAAAATAATAATATTCTTGACCATAGAATTCCAAAACACAATATCGGGTATTTGTTAATCCCAAACTCTAAAATAATTTGGCATGAAATCTGAAGTGGTCAGAAAAATCCATGGCTCTGTAACTTAACGTAAGCACTGTTATTTCCTTTACTGAGATTATATACACTATTAAATCAGTTACAAAGGTATTCCTCTTCCTAATGTTGCAAAATGAGGACTATACAATAATACAAAGATGGAATTTGTTTTATTTAAGAATTTATTAAATATAAAATATCTATCCATACCTTTTCTAACCACTTTATTCAATATGGGGTCATGGAGCACCTGGAGCCTATCCCAACAAGAAATGGGCACAATGCAGGATACATCCTGGACGAGATGCCAGTCCATCACACAACACACACAACAAAAACACACCCGCACATTCACACCAGAGTAAATTTTTCTGAACTCTTATCAAGTATTTTTCTCTTCCACATGTTATGGTCCCATCTTCTTGCTGCAGGGGCCACCTCAAGCACTGGGTACCAGCCTGGCTGCACTACTGAGCAGCAGACCACAGAGACAGCTATATTAAGCTTTAGTCAATCACAGACTGACCTGTGTGCCTCGGTCTCCACGCCTCCCTGTCTCAGCTCTATATAAGCTCTGCTCTCACTGCCTTCAGGGCTCAGTCTTGAAAGCCACTGGTCTGAGTTCTGACCATTATTAACCAGTTTTTTTCCTGAACTAAGTATTCTGCTTCTTACCTTTGCATCTTACTCCTGTTGCTGTCTGTGTTCATTTGCTTGTTCTTCCTTTCACAATATTTACTCCTGGTTATACCTTGTTTCCTTTCCTCTGCATCTTGGGTTTTATTCCTCCTTGGATTGTCTTTCTGAATTCAGCCTGTTACTGGCCACATACTTTAGTAACTTCGGTGTTCTTTGTTGTTTATAATACAAATGAAGGCATTTTAAGGATGGATTTGATGGAATTATGTTTTGTGCATTACTTTCCATTTTTACCACTTCAGTTTGTCAAGATGATATTGATCTAGACTTGATTAGAATCCTGCCAGACAAAATGGAATAAAGTGAATTTAATCAAATCAAAGTGAACCCGTACTGTATGATGGGAGATTTGGCAGAGTAAAAATAAGTGCATGATTGCATGGTGTCATGTGGTTTTAATGCTAATGAGGTATATTTTCTTCTAGGATTTATTTAACGTAATTAAATCTTTTAAGACCAGACATTTAAAGCCTACAGTAAATCATTGGCTACAAGCTATATAAAAAGTTGATATTTTTATTACCCCATTAGAGGGAATTAAGAGCATAACTAAAGATGTACAAAACAGAGCCTTTGCATACAATATTTTATTTGAACCAAAATTGAGTTTAGAAATTATATAAAAAACAAATACATTTTCAATCTTATGTTGCACAGAAAATGTGAATTTGGTCAAATTCTGTATCGTGCATTATTGCGATAAACCATCTTAGCCTTGCATGAGGCGTAACATTGTATATGGAAAAATGTGTTTGCTGGTTTTGTGAGTGTCACATTATACAGTCACCTAGACTAACACAACTAAACTCATTTTACTTGTACTTTAAGGAAGGGCTGTGCTGTGACCTCTGGGTAGACTATCTTAAAAGAACAACTATAAACGCACAGTCCTCATTAGAAAGCAGACTTATTGCTGTGGAGGATTTACTGTAGAACATTTAAAGACTTGGTTTGCTCTAGGATCACCTACTGTATCTAGTATCACATGAGAAAGTCTAAAAAATGAAATACAAATATTGTCAGAGAGAGAGAATGGATCAATGTCAGTAGTGCAATAGCCAATATGTATGATTTTTGTTGTATTGCAAAGTTGTCATTTGCATTATCTTTTCAGCTGGACTAAGTCCAGATTCATTTCTTTCACCATAACAATTTTGTCTTACTTGTTCTTACTATTCCTGTAAGAACAGTGGTGTGGTGTAGTCAGTAGTAACTAAATGTTTTACATACTGTACAGTATTTTCCTAGGTTTTAACGGTAGGCAAAACCAACTGAACAGACTGCAGGTACTGTATAAATAGGATCAAGTAAGGCACCAAGAATGAAGAACACGTCATGTTATCTTTAGAGCCTGTGACAAAGCAAAATTTTAAATTGGCAAAAGGCATTTTAAACAAAACAGCCATAAGAGTGCACCGAGATTTGCACTCTTTACAGTTTTTGCTATTTGCTATTCTTTTTATAACCTGGTCTCGTTGAATGATAATCTGATTAGAATTGTATTGAAAGGGATTTCTTTTTTATTTTCATATTTTCTCATTATTTTTTGCAGGATAATGACGTACGGATAATTATTGGACAATTTGATGAGACCCTGGCATCCAAAGTATTTTGCTGTGTAAGTACAAACTCTGATATTTAAATATTATTTGATAAGCCTGTGAAAGATTTGCTTCAGTAGTTACAGTTACTGTATAATAGAATCCCTCATATATGCATGTGTTTGCTGATAATACAGAATGAAAAACACAAGGCTGAACTGAGTACATAGTAAATTACAATGAACAGATAGTAATTCAAATTATACAGGCATTTTGTAAATTCTTTTTAGGACTTTACGTGCATGTACATACTGTATGAGAACAAGCAAACATTAATTCCATGCTGAATAATGAGCTAAGTTAATTTACAATTGATACATAGAACTTACAGCATGGATATAATTCAGGATGTGTTTCAGAGCTTCTTTAGTCAGAAATTCTATTAATCTGGCCATGTTACCATGACTGACAAAAAAGACTATACTGTATCGTGTTTTGAATATTAGAGCCTTAATGGAAGAAGCATAATTACTGTATGACACCTGAGAAGAATTTAACTTTCCCGAATTCCCAACCATAAACAGTTAAAACATTTTTCTCACCATTTAAAAATGACAAACATATTACCAAGGTTGTGCCAGCTGTCAGTTTGCTCCGGTTTCTAGTTTATACTAGAAAGAAACTGGACTTCCATCCATCCTTTTTCAAACCTCTTCTTGCGAATTCTGGGGGAACCGGAGCCTACTGCATCCCAGAAAGCAACTGGCAGACAAACAAACACACACTCACCTCTAGGGCCAATTTTCCCACAAGCTAGTTGTCACGGATGTCACAAGGGATGAACCGTGGAATGTCAGGAGAGGGAAAATGACCCTATGCATAGCGACAAGACGGGGGTTAGCCCGGGCTCAGCTGTTCAGGACATGCCGTATAGAAACCTATGCCCTCAGGTAGCGGACAAGGGGCGACCTGGTGCTAGGCGAGTCTCAGGACATCCGAACGTCAATGCTGAGCGAGTGGCAGAGGAGAAGCAGGAAGTAAATAGGCTACACAACAAGACACACCAGAAAGACAGGAATAATCACAGGGAATTAGCAACAGGACAGAAGTAGAGCGCCCTCTAGATGCACTGGGCGTGACACTAGTTAGCTTACTGGTATGTTTTTGGACTGTGGGAGGAAACTGAAGTACAGTACACGGAGGAAACCAATGTGAGCACATGCACAACATACTGTACAAACTCTATACAGATAGTGCCCAAGGTCTTGGATTGAACCCAGGGCCACATGCACCACAGTGTCACTCACAGAAACTGTATTGTATTATCTAAATAAAAAACTAGATTGTTGCTTTGACAACCCCTTTAATCCATACACATCTGTGCAATAATACATGTACGTAAAAAACAACAACAAATGTTTTAAAGGTTCCATTGCAAACTTCTTCTCATCACATCTCATCTATTGTTCTCATCACAAGGAACTCATGTCATTCTCAATAGAGGTAAGTATAAAACTGCAAAAGTCTAACTCAATGTGTTCCACAGCACCACAAAACAGAAACAAATATGGATGTGGACTTTATATTCTGCAATACATATCAATACAATACATATCAATACAATCAATATAACCTTAAACAACACCGAGAGGAACTATCTCGAAACTGTCAATGGATATACAAAACGTTTTGCATGAAATGTGACATGCTCTCGTGAAAGCACATTCTCCGAGAGAAAGCAGGGATGAGTTCGTTTGCAGTGATAGTCCCCTCCAAATTTTGCAGGTTATCCACTAAAACTGTAGCAGTCCCTAAATGTCTGTCTGCTAAAAACTTTGTTCTCCTCTTGGGGGAAATGTTAAATCTAATTTTCAATCAAAATCAAAATGTTTAGTTTAGGATGATTGTTGAATTGCTGCATTGCTGCCGGGAACTGCAGTTTGTTAGCATGGAAACAAACATTTGCGTGCTAACGTTTCATGCTCCTACAGTAGCTCCAGTAGACTGTGTGTAAAAATAGTCTGCAAGTATTACAAATTTAATTGCTGCCCTCCATGTTACAGCTCTGCTTTCTACAATGGGTGTCATGATAGAACATCATATAATGTGTGGGCGATGAATGGTACAGTGACCAGATTTCAGGAGACCCTAATTAATTCATAGCCAACTGTACAGATCCCTTGGAAAGCTGGGTCCTTTTTTCTTAATTGTAGATTTTAAATAAAGCATTCTGCCAAGGCAAGGCTCAAGGTAATAAAAAAATGAGGTATTAACCCATACACGTGTAAGTTATTCACTTTAATTGATACAATTTTAAATCATCTCTTGCCAGTCTCCAGCATGTAATCATAGCAGTATCATACAATAATGAATTCTGACATCTGAATTGGGATGGCTTTGTTTGGCTTTTTCTTTTATCTTAAAAGGCTACATTATTTACAAAATGTTTTATAGGTAGTATCATTTAAAGCAACTGGTGTTATGTGTAACCATTCACATCATGTGAATCAAAACATAATAACTCTTTAGGGATAGCAAATGGTATTTCTAAATATTCTATTATCATTATTATTATTCTATTGCTTTGTTTCTGAAACATTATCCTCTCCTTTTAAAAAAAATAGGTAATTCATTTTTCCTTGCCTATTTTAATGTATTAAACCAATTAAATTTACTGTGTTCTAGCCTTCAATTGCTTTCTCATTGGAAGAATCTGTTCAGTTTCAAGAGGCATGTCTTTAAACTGTTTTTTAACTTTAAACTTCCACCCATTCTTTACTTATTCCAAATCTATATATTATTTTCCATTTTAGTTCTCTTAAAAACTGTCTCACACCTTTAAACTCTACTTTTACAAAATTGCAAACTTGTTTTTGGAATACACCTGTACAGTTTCAAAATATATTTCAAAACATATAACAATCACAGGTCCACAATGCTTCTCTCGTCTCTGTTTTCCATGTTCTTTGTGTTATTATTAAGCCATTAGTTACCTCTGTTTCAGCTGCCGACATCCCTGTTATTGGTTTTCCCCATCTGTGTGACGGAAATTAAAATCTCCCATGATGACCATTCAGTCATATATAAATAGATATCATATTAGGCACCTCAGTATTTAAACACTTTTGCTTAAGGCCAGCCATTACAACTGACAGGTCACAAGTACTGTATGTGCAGACTGAAGACAAAGAAGATGAGAGTGCTCTGTAGTCTCATTTTCAAGCCCACCAATTTTTAACTCATTTTTCCCTGTTAAAGTATGTTACCTTATTTATTGAAACACCATTATATACATATACATAAAACATTTAGAGACAAAAAATACTGTCCTTAATTTATGTGTCTGCTGCAATGCTGTAACTCTTCTGCAGGCATCCTGACTTCCACCCACTAACTGTTTTGTGTCAATTGGCTTTATTTTGTGGTGTCACTTCAGGAGAGCAACCACAAAGCTTTGCATCCCAAAGGGGTTTAATTTCATTGTTTGTTTTCATAGGCCTACAACTTGAACATGTTTGGCAGTAAGTACCAGTGGATCATTCCAGGCTGGTACCAGGGGAATTGGTGGGAACAGGCCAATTCCACAAACTGCACAACGAAGAAGCTGCTCACTGCCATGGAGGGGTACATCAGCGTGGACTTTTTGCCTCTCAGTACCAAACAGGTCAAAGGAATTTCTCAGAGGGTGAGAATCGACTGCGAAAGTTCTAGAACCTGTGATCTGCAAAGAAGACAAATTGGAATATAATATGAGATCATTTTATAAATGTAAACACTAAAAAAATACAATATAATTGAAGATTAAATTGATCACTCCATCACTATACATCTGAAAGTTAGATGAGATAAAATCCCTTCTATTTTAACAGATTAAAGATAAGGGCTAAAAGTGATGACCCACTCCCTTGCTTAATTCACTACCGTTGCAAATGCAATATTTAATTTTTCAGTGCCCCATAAAAGTAGTGCAAATAGTGCAAATAAATCCTATTTTTGAGTACTGTTTTGTTAGCCTTCCCTTTGACCCTCAAGAGTGTTCCTGTTTATTCAAAGACCCTCGCAGAACAGCAACAAAAGATATTCTCTAAATAAAACCATTCTGCATCTTTTATAGACACCGCAGGAGTATGAGAGGGAATACAACAAGCGACGACTACAAAAAGGCGTGGAGTCCAGTAAATTTCATGGATATGCTTACGACGGTATTTGGGTGATTGCCAATACTCTGAAAAGGGTCATGGAAATTCTGAAACAGAAAGAGAAATTCAACAGATACCGGAACTTTACAGCAGATGATAAGGAGGTTGGCAAAATAGTTCTGGACATCATGAATGAGACTAACTTTTTTGGGGTAACGGTAAGTAAATGATTGATAGTTTTCAGACGGCTAATAACACAAAACCTAATAACATAACAGAGTATTCATGTGTAGGAACAAATTTGTACTTTTGAAAAAGTTCAAGTTCAGTAGCTGATATGCTTTTTCTGTCTTTTTTTTACTACCTGCAGATCAGTAGATACTTTACTGATATAATAAAAACTCTCTTTAATCAATCATTGGCATTTGTTCCTATTAAATGCTGATTCAAAGTCACACGAGGGTATAAACTAGAGCATTATTTGAATCTGATTAGAAGGATGTTAGCAATGTATTTTTTCTGGAGGATCAGAGAATACATTCTATAATGCATGTTATTTTTGAAAATAGTTACAGTACAGCAGTTTAAGAGGAACCTTAATTCTTTAAGGAAGCATATTACTACCCAAATAAAATTTAGTTATTTATGATATTTATACTTTTGAAAACTAATGACGCTGGAATGCAGCTTGTGTGATCAATACTTCAGACAAGTACAAAGCAAGCCTGACTCCCAGTGCCGGGCTTTAGTCTTTTGTGTTTGGTATGAGCTCGTTAGATCTTAGACACTGTTAAGAAGTGTAAAACCTCATTGCTTACTGACTATACTGTTGGTTTGACATTGGCCTAGGAACTGCTTTGCTCTCTTTCCCCAGTATTTTAGTATTTTCCATTTCTATAATCCAGTGTTACTTTTTAATGAAGCACATTCATGAAATGGAAAGCTGATTTAGTCACATATCAGCCTTCAATGTGTTCTACCTCATAAAAATACTATCAGCACACTTAAGAAATTCAGCAGCCCACTATCATATTGTTATACCAATAATCATCTTTCATTCTGATAGGTACTGTAAAAGAGAAGATGTTATTAAAAGAACATTTATTTAGCAATTTCTAAATGCACACCTTACCTTACAATAATTTTTAAAGAAGACCTTTAAAAAGAAATACTGTAGAAACAGCACTTTTTACATGGTAAAAATCATTTCCATGATTTACCAGGAAATGGAAAACACCATTTCCTGGTAAATCATGATACCAGGAAATCTTTTTTCTTGGTGTGGTAAAATAATTTATAATTGTAGCTAAACTGGACATACCGTAGTAAAATGTATCATTCAGTGCCTAAAATCATATAGAATGGGTTAATATTCATGATTTATGAATTGTGAGCTGCACATCAATATTCCCTCTGTGGGCAAGAAATATTTTAAATAAGGATATTACCACAAGTATCTGTCTCTTGCATAGCTGTAAAAAACATAAATAAAAAATGAATCACTTGAGACCAGAGGTGTAATTTTCCATGTTCCTCAAGCTCTCAATTCCATGGCTCAAAAGTGAACTTACATGATGAAAGAAGAAGAGGCATAAGTTTCAAAGAATGTGCAACTTCTGATGTGAAGAGAGAGTAAACTTGTTGGTTCGAGTTGTGGTTTATGTGGCAGTAATGGCTCCATTAACCATTGTGTTTTCTCTCAGATCCAATTGCAACTAGTCATATCTGCCTGTAATCTTTCTATCCTCTCTAGACTGGATACCTTAACTTAAATTTAACTTAGAGCCACCTTGTATTTTGGGATCTCTGAGAATGATTAAGTTTTACAATATGTAATAAACCTCAGCCCATGAAGGACTGTGTGATCAAATTGGCAGGACTTTAAAAACAACTTGGGTAGCATCGCAAGTTGTTTTTAAAAATATAAATCGGTAAACTGTTTGCTTCTGTTTGTGTAATGGCGTGCCTGCTAGGGATTTCTATTGTGTTTTAGTTCTCCACTTTTAGAATGGAAAGGGAACTGGATTTTCAAAGTCTCTTAGCTTACAGTATATTTTTACATGAGCAGTATTACAAATACAGGCTACTTTCATATTATGAATCTCAGGATTACGTTTTCAAGATTTTAAGCCCATTGTTGGTACAGACTAACAGGGGGTCCACTGATGCCATGCTCCCACATTTGTGTCAAACTGAAAATGACAGGACTTCAACTAAAAATCAACTAAAAATAATTTAAAGATGGCTGTGAGCAGTCAAGATTTGTGATACATATCAAGATGTAGTTCATTATTGCCATAAAAACTAATTGTCACGATTAAAAGGCATATAACACATACTGTATACAGTATACAACATAGAGCCAAAAGCATAATAAACAGCACACCTCCAAAATATCTAAACATACCATCCTAACATACACTAGTAATTATATAAATTATAGTGAGACCATAACAATAATAACAAATAAGAAAAAATTGTGCAAGAATTTCAGAATCAACATACTGAGTTCATACATGTCACAGCCTCTAGGTAGGTACTGATATGGAACTTAATAGTCCTCGTCTTGATAGACTTAAGCAGCTTACCAGAAAGAAGAAAAGTAAACAAAGGATGAGTATGGTGGGAAGGGTCGGTGAGGACCTTTAAAGCTTTGTGTTTCAGTCAAGACAGGTAGAGTAACTCCACAGAGAGAAGGTTGCATCCTACAATTTAAGAGGCGATATATGCTACCCTCTCTAACTGCTTCTTGTCTTGGACAGACATTTTGCCATACCAAAAGGTCAAAACGTTCTCAATAACAGAACTGTAAAAGAGGATTATTGATTCCTGTGACACTGCAAACGTCTTTAACTGTCTCAGAAAGAACAACCTCTGGTGATCTTTCTTGGCCATAATGGATGACCTCCCGTTTTAGAGTTTGATGAGATGATGATGATAGAGATGATGGTACACAAGTACTTAAAATTCTCCACCACCTCTACAACCTGACCATTCATGTACTGTATAGTGGTGAGAGTTCTTCATTACCACGCCAAACGTTCACCTCAAGTTTTTGTTTTATTGACATTTACCGAAGTTCCAGGTTATTTCAGCTACACCATTCAACTAAATCAACTGCTTCATTCCTGTATACTGACTCATCTTTGCTTTTGATTCACCCCCAGAAAAGTAGTATCTTCAGCAAACTTGAACATTGTGATTGATTGTAATATACAGAATAGTCAGTTGTGTACAGCGAGCAAAGGAGAGGTGATACGACACAATCCTTGGGAGTGCCTATCGTTAGCGTGAGAGGTTTAGAGATAGTAACCTTCAGCTTCACCACCTGCTTCCTATCAGAAAGGACACCCAATAGCCAATAACACAAAGTCTGGCTAATATATATCTTTGCTTATCAAAAATCTTGAAAGGCATGATTGTGTTAAAAGAAGAACTGTAATCAATAAAGACGATCATGGCATACGAGCTGGGTTGTTCTAGATGTTGAAATATACTGTGTCATGGAGCTCCTGGGTGACTGCGTCATTGGTGTGGGTTCAAGTGCACGTTAGGAAATTAGCTATTAGTCGTTCAAATACCTTCATGATAACAGATGTCAAGGCTACAAGTCTGTTGTCATTGAGGCAGTTCACAAGTGATTTTTTAGGTACTTGTATTTGTAGCGCTCTCGGGTTCACATGGGTATGCGCCCCCGGGCCTCCGGCGTCACTCAACAGGGACCCAGCCGGTTGAGCTAAAGGTGAATCTTTCTTTTCTCAACCAAAGTAACCAAAGGATCCGCGTGGGCGACCTCTGTTCTCGACTCTTAGAACAAAGTAAAGTCCTGACACTCGGACACACTGGCAATCATGTGATTGTCTGAGCTGGGTCTGAGAATGTCCTGGAGGGGCATCTTCTTGACCCTGTGCTGCCTGTTTTATCACGGGGAACTACGGTCATTCATTGGTTGAATGCTAAGCGGGAATCAAGACCCATGTAGGGTTATCCTGCCCTACCAGTTACTGATTGGTTGATCGAGGTGGAGGATGAGTAACAATGCTCTCTGACATTAGGGTTGTAAACAACCTGGGATGAGACTCTCCCTTGTAGTCTCCCAGACAGTAAGGCACCAGAGATCACCATTTATTAGGGTGGCTGGAGAATCTCAGCTTTGGGAGTTGTTCCTTATCAGGAAAATCTATCAGATAGAAAAACACCTTCAATCTGAACCAAATGGAATGGCCTCTCTGTGCCCAGCACCACTGAGATGAGGGAGAGAGGGACTGGCAAGGGAGCAGCAAACTTAATTCCTGTATTATTAATAAGCTTTGCCGCTACATACAGTATTATACCAGCCTTTTGAAAGCAGTGCAGTACCTTTGCCTTCTCAAGGGATAGATTGAAAATATCTGTAAAAATAGAAGCAAGCTTACTGGCACAAATTTCAGTGTAGCTGTTGATGCAAGGTTGGGTAGTGCTGTTCTGTATGCAGACAAATCGTCTTACATCGTGCTCCTGAGTGATCAAGGGTGGTTGAAGGGTGTCTAGGTGTAGTACACTGAACGCTATTTGCACGTCAAATCTGCAGTAAAATTCATTCAGCTGGAGTAGTTTGTTTCACCTTGCAGTCAGTGATTAGGCATCTTTGCCAGATGCCTCGGCTGTCATTGGTGCCTTTTTATTTCTAGCTTGTTCCTGTATTCAGCTTTGGCCCTCTTTACTGCATATAAGAATTCATATTTATTGGCTTTGAAGTAAGCATCATGTCGGTCTTTGAAAGCCCTGTTTTTCTTTCCCAAAGGGTTTTAATTTCCTTGTTGGAGCAGGGTTTATTATTATTGTACTCAGTGACTGATTTACAAGGAATACATCCACTCTCACAAAAGTGAATATATGATGTCATTGTCACTGAGCTCATTAAGATCACAACAGGCCTGTTTAAACATACTCCAATCTGTGATATTGAAAAAAAATCCCTTAGCACTTCTTCAGTCTCAGATCACTGTTTTATAGTTCTTGTTGGTTTACATGAATCTCTGTATATATCTTGGGATAAGAAATACTACTTATGACATATGGCTGAGGGGGCCTCAGACAAATACCTGTTATACAGAGATATTGGAGTAGCAATGACCCAGTGTTCAATTGTTCTTACTTGCACCTTCTATCTGCTGTCAGGCTGACATGATTAAAATCTCATGATTAAAACAATGACAGGGGAATGTAAGTTTTTGAC